CAGTGTAGGCCCATAGGAGATGACGTTATGGAAAAGAGATTATGACATAATACAATACATGACGTCATGGTGACGTAATTACACAGGAACCCCAAATTAGAGATGTTTCTAAAGGAACTTCCGGAAGTCCTACAATTATTTGAACTTCCGGTTGACCAAACGCGACACGATAGATAGATAGATACATTGACTAAAAGGTAGAACTAAAGTCGGACTAGCCATAGGCTAGCCCGACTAATAAACAGGCAATGTTGTACTTAGTTGGAAAATTTTAAAACATGTATTTTGTTTTAATCAGGGACGTCCCTGTTTAAACCTGACTCTGAGAATCAGTCCGTCGCTATTGATGCCATGCAGAAATGCATTGCTGATATTCGACATTGGATGACTTCTAATCGACTCAAGCTGAATGACGACAGGACTGAAATCATTGTCATTGGAACAAGACAGCAGTTAGCTAAAGTGAATGTTACTGGTTTAGAAGTTGGTAATTCCAACATACCACCCTCCACTGAAGTCCGGAATCTTGGCTGTTGGTTTGACACCCAGCTAAAGATGGACAAACACATCAATAAAATGTGTAAAGCTGCGTTCTTCCATCTCTTCAAAAGATGTCCTTGTTATTCTTCCTATACTGGCTCGGGAAAATCTCTTATTTTTCAAACAGCGCCATTAGTGTATTTTGCTCGTTTTTCTGGCAGATAATACATCCATTTGGATTATTAAAMCCTACACATGTTTTACTTGGGGTAATTTCCATTCCTTTCTCTTTTTTAAAGTGCTAACTATTACATTATATCGCTACTTCGCGAAGTTTTCATTTCACATAATTTCCCAACTTGTAGCAAAACCTTTACGGCTGTTGTCAGATATTTCACTTCCGTTCACTGAAAAATTCACTTCCGTTACGTCATAATATGCTAATTCCACAAAAACGTCACGGACATGCGCGACACGTTTCGAACCCCATGCGCCCAGCCGTCAGGGGAGAGAGTATCGCGGGCGCACGAAATCCCGACGGMTGGAGACTGAGCCTATCGACCATGCAGCCAAAACATAAATTCTTGAACGCGTCTTGAAGCAAACTTTGTATTTTTTTCATCAGGTTTAAAATGTATCAATCCAATCGAAACTTAGCAACAATGTTGTCCATATAGTGATGAAACAACTCAGTTAAGAACAAAAAAWATTCGGCCTCAGTTTTTAATGATTTGGAAAAACGCTAAAACTACACTTTTTCAGAGTCGCTACAGAAACTACTATGTACTGAAAATAATCACATCTTGAAAACTGGCAAGAGACATAACTTTATACTTGTACAGCATTATCTTATAAGCCAAACAAGTCTTTTGCTGTGAGATTGAGCTTCAGGCATTGGAATTTTATCATGAATATGGGCCGATTGTGAGCGTCTTCGTCAAAGCACAAAAACGCAACACATATACATGTTTAATCGTTTTTCTCAAAATCGGCTAGAAGAATTTCCATGATTTTGAGATATATTATTAGCTATAACCTACAGTTAAACGCGGTACTTTTGGTTTTTCTAGGTGCCATCGAAATTGGCCGGAAAACAGCTTTCTTTGAATTCTTTCTTTCTACTAAAAAACTGCTATTTTTGTAGTAAATTAAAACAAAATACATGTTTTAAAATTTTCCAACTAAGTACAACATTGCCTGTTTATCTTAAGAAAATCGAGTTTGATTAGTAAGTTGGTTAAACGGCCGTTTAAAAATGATAGGTGCGCGGGAGTGATGTTTTCCTTATATATGAAAAACTCTAGAGTACGACCGCATTGAAGGCTGGTCGACCATGGTCCTTGAATGAATCAGAACCTGGTCCCCAGGGCCATCTTGGCGGATTCCTTTTCAAACTGATAAATTTAACACCTAAAGGAGGGTCTCAATGGGGTTAACCGTGAGCCGTGAAACTGCTGAAAAATTAGCCGTTAGTCGTGAAAATGCGAAAAAATTAGCCATGAGGCGTGAATATTTTTGTATAGCGTGAGCCGTGATTCAGTTTTGTCCCTCAAAAGGACAGTCAACTCCGATGCAGGCGTGCGCTTGTAATTTTTTTTTTTGTAATTTTTTTTGTAAATGCTCTATTCGCAGAGTAGCTCATTTAGTGCATCGAAGACCTTAATTGAGCGGGAGCCTGCGTCACGGTAAGTGTGGTAAGAAACTAAAGCTTCTCGAAATAGAACGTTATAATATGAATCGACATCTTTTTTTAGATTGCTAATTAAGATATAAAAGATTTTTTTTGCCAAAACAAAACTAGCACTGATTTAGTATGTTAGTACATCGAAGACTTTGAACAGGAGCCGATCATATATCCACTTCGTAAAAACAAGACGGTTCTCGGGAAAGTGAAACACAAGAGACGACAATAATTATGCAAAAATAAATAAATAAAAAAAAAAGATAAACAATAAATTAAATAAAAAGAAAAAACAAAATCATTAAACGTCTCCTCCAGGGAATCGATCCCGCTACCGTCAAACCTACATTGGATTTGCAATTGTTTTCATTGAACGTATAATACGTTTTCACAGCGCGGCGATTGCGCTACCGAGAATAAATTTTTAAACAGAGTGTCCGAGTTATGTTTGCTATTCGTACGGACATGGTATATATCTGACATTTTAAAGTAATTATATAAGATATCGATTTTAAAATACTATAATTTTGTTTAGAGTCAAATAATAATATGAATACGCTACAAACCTCCTGATTATGCCATGCACATTTAGCACGGCATAGAATACATCATCGCGAAAAGCGACACTTCGAAGCGAAATYTCGTAAACTCCGATGTCAGAGACGGACTGCAGCAATGTCACTACTATGTTCTCAATACCTGCTATGTTTAACACTTTTTGGATTTTTTTTGTGTATTATGAATTTATGATTAATCATTTTTTCGTGGAAATAGTCGCATTTCGGCTTATTTGAAATAGAAAAATCCATGTCCGTACGAATAAGTCACGCAGTCTATTCATACGAAAAAAGAAAAAGCAATGAAAAACGTAATTCAAAAATTTCTAAAAGTAATCTAGTTAACGGTGATTCGAAAAAAATTAGTCGTGAGTCGTGAAATCGCCAAATTTTTAGCCGTGAGTCGTGATACATTGAGACCCTCCTAAAGAGGAGGTGAAACAACTTACTGACGTTTCGGACGTTAATCCTTCGTCGGATTAAAGAGGAGAATTGACCCTGGTGGTGTTGGAGATCACGTGATCAAAACCTCAAAGATTTTTGGCAACCTCGACCCTAGGTGGACTAGCTTATCATTGTTATTATTAATTTATTAATTCATTAATAAAAATCGACATAAAACGCATTGAATTTGTGAAGAAAGATAATAAAATTGCTTTGAAATTACAATTTTGGACCATACAGCGGCGGATTTTAGGGGATGACTTCTCCCTATGCTGAACAATTGGAAAAAAAGCGTGGTCAAAATCCCTCAAACCCTTGAAATCGGAGTTTCAAGATGACTATTTCAAAATTTTCCACCCGTCGCCCCTTTTTCAGTCCGACTCCAGTAGTGAACAGATCAGGACTTCACGCCCCCCTTTTGTAAATTACTGGATCCTACCCTGCCATACTTTAATACCCGCGACCAGTAATTGTTGACTTTGTTCATAATGACGTCACATTAAAACATTTTATTGTTTTAACGCTAAGCATTATTGTTGCCCGAGGGGATCAGAGTGACTGCATATAAAAGAAAATGTACATGAACAATCATTTATACATGATGTATATCAAATCACGATTCATAGACCTGATCGGCTAACGCGTTACTATAAACGTTTCCACCCAATTCAAACCACCCGGTGTTTCATTGTTTGTTATAGTTACATTTCACAATTTAATTCTTAAAAACAAAGTTWAAGCAAAAGTTCTTTTTCCCACAGGATTTGAATTGGGTGGTAACGTACATGACAACGCGTTAGCCGATTAGGTCTATTGTAGTTCTACTTTAGGAGACAATGTAAATGGGTCTAAATTTCGATTGTTTTTGAGCATGGTTTTCCGAAGTAAACATACTGTGACGTCATAATGAAATAGCGCAATTGTATTTGGTTGAAAATCTTTGATGTTGATAATGTTGTGATTGTGCTATCTGTGTCTTTCATTCGTACCAATTGACGATCGAGGTTTCCTTATGTTTATTTATCTTTTATCTACATCTGCAGTGCTATGTACCTTGGTGTATTCTGGTACCTACTTATATGTTGCGCATGCGTAACTGCCATGCCGCACTGGATCGAAATGTCATACAAGTATGACAATACAACAATCGTCTGGCCTGGTGGCACAAGGTTCACTCATAAACTCGTGTTCGAGGGACAAAAACCTTTGTTCTATTACAGCTCCTATGATATTAGTTCCTCGGAGCACTGCGGGACACACCTTGACTCCCCGATACACTTCTCTGCCGGGAAATGGACCACTGACCAAATACCGCTGGATACACTGATCGGTGACGCTATCGTTGTCAATATAACGGATAAAGCATCGAAAGACCCCGATGCACAGTGCACAGTGGATGATCTCAAAAACTGGGAAAAGAAGAATGGTCGTATACCCGACAATATAATACTATTGTTGTTGACGGGTTGGGGCAAGTATTGGCCTGATCAGAAGAACTACCTTGGGACTGACACTGGTAACACGAGCCTGTTCCATTTCCCTGGTGAGTTTGATTTTTTCGAGCAGTAAGTAGTTTTACCTTTTATAACTTTAAGTTGTTTATTAACACACTCTTAGCGTCGTAAAATGTTCAAAACTCACGAACGCAGTAACATTACAAAGTCTCTAGAAGTGCGAATCTTCACCGATTTGAGGCTGAGGCTGTATTCTCACAAGACATGGAGTCTGAGCTATCTGGGAATTCAGGCTTAGCCATGCTTARCCTCAAATTAGAGAGAATGCAAATTTGTGCAGCCATTGGAATGACAACTTTTTTCGGTCTTTCTTTTGTTTTGGGAAAGGTCTTTGTACTAGAAAGACTGGTAGTGAATTAAAACAGGGGTCGCTCGACTTGAACGAGAAAAAGACGTCGTATTTTACAAAAAAAATGTTGTAAGTTTAGAAACGAAGATGAAGGTGAAAAACGTTTTTAGTTAATGAAAAGGTACAGAAAGATGGCGAGCAAGGATGGACGAGCGGTTAAAACGCCGTTCTATCACCGCTGTGGTCCTGGTTCGATTCCCGGTCCGGGACTATATGTGATTTGAGTTTGTAGACTGGTTCTCTTCCTTGCTCCGAGGGTTTTTCTCCAGGTACGCTGGTTTTCTTCCTCAGTGATAAACTAGCTGTGAGGAGTGTCGTATGCTAAAACAGTTAATGTTCAGGTAGAGTGTGTGAGTTTCATTCCAGGTGATTAAAACATTACTATTATTATTATTGTTTAATAATATTGTTATTAATATTACATTCACGCAAAAAAGACGTAGTATCTCATTCATTCCTTGGTTATGTCTCATTTTAGGACTGCATGGCGACGCGGCAARGTGGCTAGTTGCAGAAAGGAAAATCAAGCTTTTTGGTATTGATACAGCATCAATCGACTATGGTCAGTCGACTGATTTTATCACTCACCAAATCTTATTCAAAGAAAATATCCCCGCTCTCGAAAATGTTGCACACTTAGAGAAGCTTCCAGCCAAAGGCGCACGAGTGTATGCAGCCCCACAGTTTATCAAGGGTGGTAGTGGTGGGCCGTGTAGAGTGTTTGCTGAGCTAACTAAAGATGTGACAAGTTCATCCATTGCTAGATCAGCTCGTGAGCTTCTATTGATCCCTTTGGTGATCTCTTTATACAAGCTCATTTTCTCATGACTTACAGTTAATACCATAGACCTTCTCTGAAATAGAATTGTGCATTGCATTGTGGTCTAGATTCAGTACAATCTTTTGTTTATGCTTACAAAGGTGGTGGTGTTTTTACTGAAGCTAGACTACAATGCATCAATCACTTTATATTTCAGAAAAGGTCTCTCAACATAATTCAGTTGTAAAGACAACTAACAACAACGTCATTTTCATATATCACATTTTATCATAGAATATTCAGCAACAGATTGGAAAGTTTCTTTACAATGCCAATAACATTTGAATTACTCTTTATCTTGAGGTTTAAATTGAATTTTAGAATCATTTTTGTACAAACGAGGTTGTTGTTGTCTTTGTTTCTCTACAAGTGAACAACGTTAATGTGATCGATATTATGACTGATAACTCGTTACAAGTAATCCAAAATTAATGGTGGTATAATTTCGTTGCACTCACTCGTCAGCGGTAACTATTTAACAGTATACCGATATTTCAGACAAGACATTCCAAGACCGAAATGCATTGTGGGTTGCGCTATAGAAGTTCAAAAGGTGTTTACATAGTTTCAGAGTAACTAGACTATGCCATCTCCGTACTAAGCTGACGCCTGATACTCAGGTTAGCTCCGTACAGTCAAGAACTTCAATGAAAAGCCGACAGTCTTTATAATCACTCAGGGCTCCCATTGATAGCAGGCATAATGGATTAATCTATCTATCTATGCCATGTTTTGACGCAGCTAACGTGGGGTTTAATAGCAACATGAATGCTGACAATGTCTCACTGTGCTTGGAATGTGACTAAGGCCCGTAGCAGTATTCAACGTTTTCCATATAAAGAAATAGTGTTGCCAGGTACTGCTTGAAGTTTAGAATATGAAAATTTGTCTGAGGTTTCGTCGTCTACAGCATCGTCAGAGACAAGTGAATCTATGTTACATATGAACAAAAGCGACTATGGCAATTGAAAAACAATACCATAAATCAAAAGAATAAGTAATTGGTTCCAGGTATTCCTCACGGAAATGGAGGTTAGGTTAGTGTGATTTATTGTAAAGCGCCTGTAAACGCCTAAAGATGACTGCATCAGGATTTTAATGATGGTAGAAAACGTCAAGCAGTACCTGGCTACACAAGTAGTATTTCTTCGTATGCTCACCATGCTGCTAAAGGAGAACTTTCAACGATTTTAATTCCTGAGATACTTAATCAGTGATACTTTCCTTTATTCAAATGATAAAAGTAATGCATACTTCATGTATATGTTTTTGAAAAGCTTCTCTAAGAAATATCAGGATACTTCATCTGTTATTTATAGTTTATCTGTAGTTATGTATTATCAACCTCTGCTGTCTGTCTTGCATTGATTGTACTGCCATTACTTATCTCCCCAGTTTTGTGTTCACTTGGCATGAATTCACTTACGGACAAACTTCGTACTGAGGCTCTCGACGAGCGAAACCAATCATCTTCTTCCTTATCAGAAAAACCGTAGTTCTTAATCCCCGTGCGGCCATTGGTACCAAACTTCACTCGCCCAATGTTACCATTTCGAATGTGTCCATTGGTTGACGTATGATAAGTGTGGTTTAAGTCCCAGCTTTTTTTGTCAAATGACCGAAAAAAATGGAAATCTATGTTTTCTTCATTTTTTTCGATTCCCAAAAAGAAATACCGTAACTTTTTAGCCAGACACCCCATCAACGTCCAGTATTTAGTCAATATAATGATAAGTACAATTTCAACAAATAAAGCCAAAACTCCAAATAACACAACGCCGGCTACTAGAACAAACAAACCGCTAAAGTCAGCGATACCAAAGTCACGAGCATGCGTATTCGTGCATGAACTGGGCGGAAAGCGAAGAGTTTTGATACGTTCTATTGTGCCGTTTTCCTGATGTTTAAGAGAAGACAAGGTAGCTTTATAGATCCATGGAGATCCTTTAGGGAATGCAAAGCCAACGCCAAAGTTATAGAAGCTTTTTCCTATGAGTCTAAAATTACAGTGTGTATTTTTGGCTTGCGCTTGCAGGGAAATTGTGTCTCCTACTAAACCATCAAGCTTCCTTGAATACAATAATAATAACAACAATGTCAATGTATACACAACGATAATGACRGTTACAATTGATCGTTTTCAACCATTCCCATGAGGTTCAAAAGATAAAAGGCCGGCGGCCATGTTGGAGGAACGAACAATAGACAACTAATGAGAAATCCTTTGTTGAAGTTCATCCAATATGGCCGCTGCGACGTAACCTGAAAACGAAGAATACTGCATTTTACAGTTACCCGCGCCATCTTGAAAGGTAACCGACCCTTTTTATCAAAGCCGTGATTGAGCATGACAGTGTTTGAGCTTGAAATGATAGATACCTATGAATAATTATCTTAGATGCAAAAATGGTGTCTATTATTACAGGCTCAACTCCTGTCTCTATTTTGTGCAATGGGTTGGCTACCTTTTAAAATGTCCTTGGATCTGTAAAATAAAGTATTGTAATGGAATTGACTAAAAAATGTTAATGATAATAGGAATAGACCTAATCGGCTAACGCGTTGCTATAAACGTCACTTTCATAAGTGCCTACCATCGATTTCATGCAATTGACAAGATTATGGCAACATTCGACACTGTTTTATGGAAGAGCTATCAGAAATTGGTATTTGTTGAAAGTTTTGAAGCTTTGGACCAAATACTGACAAAGTTATGGAGGAATCAATATGATGGCAACGCATTAGTCGATTAGGTCTATTTGCATGTAAATAGACGATTTGCGAATTTCGCTTCAGTAGTCAAACACAAAAAATCAACATGAGGCGCTGTGCATAAAGCTCTGTCTTTTCACATATGACTGAGCTTTATTCACGGCGCCTCGTGTCTTGATTCCTGAGAACTGAGGCAAAATTTGCAATTCGGCTATTACACGATGGTAATACTAACACGTACTTGTTACTAAGCTGGGAGAATCCTTCTTTATAGCTGTCAACCAGGTTAATTTTAATGTTGATGTGGTACAAGTGCTGGATTTGTTTATCGCTGTGATTCTTGAAATACCATTCTTCTATTGAACCACGGACCACACCCAGTTGAAAACCATTAGGGGGGTAAAGTGAGGGATTGGTTAGCTGAAAGCGAATGGAAAGTTGTTTCATGAAAAAAAAACAACAATAAAAACAAAAACAAAACTAACAACATGCCGTGAAATAGATGTCTATTTGACTCAATTAAACACTTTATGATATAGGTATCAATGAAATATCACCAGTATGATATTATTATCCATAAATTGCCTATATTTCTCACTTTCGAAAACTTGTTATTCATGATTGCTTTAGCCTCATTTCCAACGATACGATAACGGCCCCTTGGAACACGGTCGTGATTGTTTAGGACCCGATGTATTCCCATAACATCAGTATCATTCACATTGGGGTGATTTCGAAGATTATGTAGAATGTAGTACCAGGAGAAGAAACACTCGAAGGATCATGGTTGCTTGTGGTCTTTTAAGTTAGTATTTGCTGATAGAGGGGCTTATTAATGACTGCGCATCGCGCACTCCGCTGCACCGCGCCGTGATACATTCTTTGAATGGGTATTTTCTTTTTGTCGCCACCACCAGTCAAGGTTCCGTAACCGTGTCTTGTCATGTATCATGCCCGTGAAGTGTCAGTACCTTTGCACAAACATGCGAAATCCGCTCTATTAATCTTTATTATTCAACAACAAATTTTCCTCTACTCTAATTTGTCGATAGTCGACCATTTGACGCAATAGTGCCCACCGCAGAGGTCTACTCTCAGTACATAGAACCCATCACTTCAGAAAATGTTTATAATTGAATAGTAAAGCAACAAAGCGGTTGAAATATCGGAAATTGGATGCTCCAGAAAACAAATGGTTGCAATTCAGCTTCCAAGGGCAACTATCATAGTATAATACCCTCGATACAACCATAATTCTATTGTTTAAGTATAATAGTGAATATTGATTATCCCATACCCTCTCATCTCGTATTCCATTTATAGGTGACGTAAAGTTCGCTTCCATCAGTACTGCCGTTAGATTAGCGCAGTAGGTGTTAACAAGGATTAACGCCATAAAAGCAAAGAATATTGAGACAACACGAGCGCTAGGACTTCTGGGAGTGTTTTCTGCACCGATTTCTTTACTAAAGGCCACGCCCCAAACATAACTCATGGAATCTGCAAAAAAAGAGGAAAAAATCTTATCAATGGATGGCATTGTTTGCGTAATTCCTCTTTGAACGAAAGTTTTATCCCTGGAAATATGAACTTAGGCAATCCCCAGATGAACGTTTCATAGCAAACACTTTTCCAAATTTAACAAATTACAGAGTCCATTGTGTTATTGCAATGTTTCTGTCGTAATTATGCGAATTATGTAAGCTCGTAAGCTCAAACGTCACCGACCACCATGTGTGACGCCAAATGAAAATACTGATTAAGATTACATCACTGTCATGGTAAGGCCGTGTTTTTCGCACAGTTGTTCAAAAGTTTCCATAAGGTCCTGCTTGCATGGGGTATGGTGTTCATATGTGGTACAGGCAAATTATATCGTTTTTAATTCCTCTAGAAAAAAGACAACAAAGGAGTTGGTCCTACTACTATCCAGGGGTACCCTGGGTAAACAGGGTCTTCATTGATTATTTACAACATTTCAAGTACGCTAACATCATGCATGACTTACCAAGCAATGTAAAACCGTCGTCTTGTGTATAGCTTTGTTCTTGCAATAAAGCAGCGATTCTCCTACGATGACCGTGTGGACTAAGTCGATCCAGTCCCCAGATGACCACAAGGAAGACATTGCTGAAGCCAATGATCATTAGCCATAAATCCGCTTTGAAGGGGTCTAAGAATTTCCAGTTAATTGCTGAAAAATTAATAAATGGCTAACATTTTTTCTGAAGTTTTATTTTTGTTTGGGGTATATTATAAGTGTAGATGTCGTAGCAGTCTTTTTCAGGAACAGAAGATACATACATAAGGTTTATAACACATTTTAATTGCAAGTAAGTCACTCACTCCCTCACTCTCTTTCCTATAAACGTCCCTTCGTTAGTATTTTTTAATATGCGACTCAGTGTCATTAAAACTCCTTGCAAACCCAGTTCACATGAAAAGTGTTCTAATAAGTCACCTTCTGCAATCTGGTCAATTCAGTAGAGCGGATCTAGAATTGCACACTATAAATATTGTCAAAGGAGATGATCCAGGGAGGTGGTGCTCACCCTCTGCACTTACCACCTTCTTTTCGCCCCGTTGCAGACCAAGAAAGTTGAACGTGCCAGAAACAAAGAAATCGTGCGAGCGCTAGTTTTTCAATTTGGATAATCATGTTTACCCTACTTTTGTGAGGAGATGTAAGGAAAATCTGAGTGAACAGTATACCTTACCTCCAGACTGAGATGATTCATTTGTGTTGTGAACTAAAATATTTAAACCCAGCTCCATATATGGTTGTGTGAATTCAACAGCTTCATTCCTTATTTGGCTGATGCCCAGAAACGATGTCACGTCAGCATTATGTGACGTGAGTTCTCTCATAAGACCAGTCCATTCTCCTGAACTACTATTGAATCCTCCCCACTGACCGTCTGGAGTGAAGTAAATAAATGCCTCGAAATTTAAGTCATTTTCTAATAGTTTAATAAGATCTATCTGTGCCCCTAAGCAGCAGTGTTTCGTCCTTTTTGTACCATCTTTTTTAAGTGAGTAGCACGCATATCCACTAAGGCATTCACCAGAAGGGTAAAATGGCTTACCAACATTCATCCATGATGGGACAGAAACGACAGGGACTCGAAGTTTGGGTCTAGGGGACACAATGGGCGGCTCTATCTTAGCACTGTGCTGATTAATGAACGCATTGAGTGCTATTCCAACAGGAGTCCACATGCCAAAGTTGGACCAGTGTTTTTTACCATGGTTGTCAACGTGTAAGTTTAGGAAATCAAAGGAGTTTTTTGGAGGGTCGTAGAGATCAGGAACGTAGAAAACTGAGTCTTGATTTGGGGAGCTATTACTTATATATCTGAAAAAAAAATTCTTATAATCACTCTAATTTGGCGGCGAGGGGTTGGTGGTGGTTGGCTACTTAAAGGGCCATAGTCCATCAGCATTCAATATTGCCGTGTTTTAGATTTTTTCCTATGAAAATAAGGGGACCTTTTAACATCCATTCTCAATCCATTGCCATCCGTCGCTTTAAGTGGAATCTTCCAATATCTCCATTGATAAAGCATAATGACATACTAAAGAGACATAACGATGTATTTTTCTTTCCAAACGCAAAAAATCTCGAAAGGGATGCTGGTGGATCACGACCCTTTGAATTATACAACGGAATGATGTCCATTACTTTCTTTTGTATCCTTAAGATGGGCGAGTATGTTAGAAAGCTCAGTCGGATAACGCCGACTTGAACCTAGCTTCTATCAGTTTGAAATTTGATTGACAGGGTTTTCCCCCCTCGAACACTGGAAATTTCTCGTTCATACGAGATCAACAATTTCATAAAACTGTCGAGTTCTGTTGCAAACCCCTTACTTTCTCATCTCGAGGCTCCCCAATACCTTAGGGCCGCAACGCAGGCTAAACCAAGCTTGTCGAAAAAAATACCTTGCTTGTTCTTTCAATTTATTAAACTTTTGTTATTTTTTGCAAATACCATGGTTTTATCAACTAAGCTTTCCGTCATACTCCCCCTTGTGCATCAACAGGGTACAATGGGAACTTGTGGACACCATTGTGTTGTATGATTTTACTGCATCGCGATTGAGCAATTATGTACCCCTGGAATTATGCCCAGAATGAATGAGTCTCGAGATCTCTTTAAACTGTGTTTGACTAAATTGTGTTTAAAATGCATGCAGAAATTTAGATATCAAATTCGTGAGATTTCAAGAACTATTTTCATTAACTTTTATCAGTACTAACAGATCTGTTGCATTTTAACAGGCTTTTACTGAATATAGTTTTGAGGCTACACAATGTAAAAGCGCTTTTAAGCGGTTTAAAAAGGGTTAACAGTGATCGCATGAAGACTTATAGCCAGATCCCCATCAGTCAAAAATACGTTAAAATAAGAGTGTTTGTTTTTTTTGCTCGTATCATTTCTTCATAAAGGATAACCAGGATGACCAGGGTCGGATCCAAGGGGGGTTGCCAGGCGGCCAGTGTCCTTCCTTTTGGGAAAGTCCTCCTTAACCACAAATTCATAGGACCTGCATAATTCAGAAAGACTCACAAAAAGTTTATAGAAGTGCCCCTACTTCCCCCGTCAAAGTATCTAGATCCGACCCTGAAAGAGTGAAGACTAAACATGCGGAAAATTTTGTTGCTGATATTACCTGATGACTTCTTGACGTAGTGCTAACCGGTTTAACCTGTTTGCACAGTCAACAATGATGTCACGACCTTGACACAAATTCAAGACAGAGAGATTGACAGCGGATTCAAAGAACGTCATTGCTTGAGTTAAGAGTTTTAGATTGCCATGGTAATGGTAGTTAAGGCTGTCATCTCGCTGATTTATTCTGAGGATACCAGCTGGTAGTGTTTCCATGGAAACGAGTGGCAAATCGTTTATTAACCAGATTGACGAGGTTGTATTTGTGAGTGAATTAGTAATGTAATGTCTGATGTTATTGGCTATAATAATATCAGGCGTAGTATTGGATATCTTGCTATGAATCTCGGTTAATCTTTCCTTTGTCACAACGCCATCCAATAAAACATACGTAACGCTTGACCATTGTTCCTCTTTCCCATAATCCAACATGTACCGTGCAAACTGGAGTCCTTCTGTGTCTGCGGTATCTATAATGAATATCTTACGCCATCCCATCTTTTTGATAAAGTCCTTGATGACGTAGGCGAATTTTTGGAGAGGCGGTGTTGGGACTCTGGTAAAGTACAACAAGGAGGCCTGAAACAAACGATGCCAGCTTTTTAGTACAGATGTAAACAATCACTTGCAAAAGTCCTGCCAACAATACATCATTATATCGGGTGCATTATGGGTAATTTCAAGGGATTGCTCTCTTTTTTTGACAAAACAGCAAATTATTAAAGATTATTTAAACATAATTTGCAGTTTTATGACACTATAAAAGCTTAAAACTGAAACATCAACTAAACTCTGTACAATGATTTAGTTAGCAGCAAGATTTTTTCAATTGACTGTATCGTCTAGATGATTTGTTTGCCATCAGGCAATTCGCAATTAATTCATAACAAAGTTGAAAGTCTGGATGTATTTAGAGGACAAACTAAAGAGAGGATTACAGGGGCGAATCCAGGGTAAGGGAGGGTGAACTGGGTGACTAGTTCTTTAATATCTCCAATATAACAGTCACCATAGTTATTAGTACATTACTTCATGAGCATTCCATGTGGGATACCAAATGAGCTTTATACCCTGGTTCGTGCATGATGAGATTTCCTTTTCATCACCATTTCTCCAAGAATCTTAACGGGTTTGAGTTTTAAATTGGTGTCGGAGTTTTTGAAGCCGTTTAAAACACTCGAAACTCGAAATTATATTTTTCAAGGTATAAAGATCCTCGTCTTTTACTATTATTAATGAAATTCGAATTGTAAGTGGAATTTGTCGAGGATGTCCAAATGGCATCATTTTCAAGAAAATAGAGAGCGTAGAGAAGCAACTGAATCTTGTGCTTTATTCTTAATTCCACCGAAAGTTTAAATGTCGGTCATTATGCTGTGATAGTTTCCCGCGTAAACAGAATGTTCCGAAAAACAGGAAGTCTCCTAGAACGCAGTTGGAGGGCGATTTTGAATTTTTGAGGAACGTCCGTGGGGATCCATAAGATCCCATAAGGACCAAGATTCAACTACTATTGATACATTTTACTATTATTTTATTATTATTATCAAGATTAAGGATTTCTGATCACAAACTACCTGTTTAGTCAGGTAGATATAATGGAATTCCTTACGAACGGCATTTTGGTCACCTTTGTGACTTAAACGCGGTTGGTAACGAATTTAATTACTTAATGGGATGCAATAACAACGAAATGGCTGTTCTAAGATAAGTTTTCGTGAAAAGTGTGTTTAACATAAATAACAATTTGAAAACCTTCACAGGCTACCATTGCTTATTCCTATATATTTATTGTCAATGAAAGATGACTCTATTGTAAATATAACTGCGAAGTATTGTTTTAATGTTCTAAATTTGTAAAATCATCTAGACAGCTAGTATAGACAGTAAAAACCCGCGTATAAGAATACCTATTTTGGCGGTTCAGGCTGATTTGTTTCTTATATAAAGGGTTATAATCTGCAAAATCAGTCTCTAAGTGTTCTTCATATTTTTTTTCTAAAAATAAGGAACATACTAGGTTGCCAATAGATGAAATCAATGTAACAGTACATATTTTTATTTTGTTTAATATTTTGTTGCATAGAGTGATCGCACTTAATCCGTGCCACTGTACAAACTAAATAGTTCTATTTAGTTGTATTTGGTAAATCGTGCATGCTGTACGCAAATTTAATTTAATTGATACAAATGAAGCATTCAATACCGTCGTGCTACAGGTCCACTTTTAGTACAAATTAATTCTACTTATAAAACTTATTAATAATGCATGAGCTATTACTCCAATAAGGGTTGTCCATTTCATCAGGTGATTGAMCTTGTAAATCAGATACAACACTGTGATACAACACTAGTGTTGTATAAGATTTACAACACGGTCGTCACCTTGAGACAACCCAACACTAGCAAAGGTCTCAGTTTTAGTGTCGCATCATAGACCTTCACTAGGTTTTGAAGCAATCAAAGACGGATAACAGAACTSGCTTATGCAACAGATGGCTTGCTTTCCATGTGGGATGGATAATTATTCAAAATGTTCTGTGTTGCAGTAAATTGCGCATGCTTAATAGGGACTAAACTCAGCAGTTACCTTATTTGTCATTTTTCGTCATTTATCTCACTGTAATTCATGTTAATTTGTGTTGGAGTTTTATAAGTCGTTTACAACATTCGCGTCCGTGTTGTATGGGAATTACAATCTCTCGCCTGCGGCTCGAGATTGTAATTCCCATACAACACGGCCGCTCATGTTGTAAACTATACTTAGATTTTGTGCGCAGTTGCACGCTTTAAGTGAATTGCGATCACTCTATAATTGGGGTGGATCAATTATGTGTGCAATGAAAAGTAGTGTTGATCTTTGATATTTTTCCATTTAAGAACAACTTTCATTTTTCAGGCTGAATGTGTTCTTATATAAATGGTACTTTATTTCCTAAACTCAGGTCTGGGTGCTCTTAATCCACTTGTTCTTATACGCGGGTTTTTACTGTATCTTTTTGTTAAAGTTAAATTTTATGTTCTAATGTACCATTTCTGGTATTTMTGGAATAAAAGAATTATTATTATTACACTTCAAACAATGGAATAATCGAAAAAAGTCGCGTCAAAAAAAAAAAAAAAAGATCAAAGAATTTGAGTCTTCTTTACTATTGGGAAAATGTCGCCTTTGCGAGCTATACATAACGTGTCCAAGAGATTCGTAATCCTGTTTCTGTTTTCGGACAAGATAATATTAACAAACACAAAAATAACCTCAACAGGAAACAGGAAAATACAACTTGACGATCTTAAAGAGCCACTTATGCTATGTCAACAACATATTTACTAAAGAACTGTGTTTCAATAGCCCTATTTCATTATGACGTCACAGTATTTACATTGGGTAAAGATGCTCAAATACAGTGAAACAGTTGAAAATGTGGTTCAATTTATATTCCTCAGTTTCGAAAGTAGAACTTAAACGTATAGCGTTTGATATATTTCATACATTGGAGATTGCTCAAGTACATTTTATTTGATATGCAGTCACTCATATCCCTTCTGGCGACCATATTCCCAGAGTGTTTTGACGGAAGGGTGCTTTCTGTAAAAGCGTGAAACATTCATTACAAAGTTGTGCAAAATAGTGCGAGTTGAAAAAGRAATTTGCATACAATAGTACAAAATAGCATAGTTTTGAATGATCACTGTTCTTTCTGAACACCATTTACTAAATTAGATAAAGAGACTAGTACGAAACTTCGCTCTATAAAAACAGAAAGACTTCAAGTTTACAGTTATTGTCACGTGTCCAGCTTGCAGACTTCCTGTATCCATTGCTGAATCAACCCTATCTCGTCGACAAAATAAGTTATAGGAAYTCGCAGCTTATCAAACGACAGTTTTACAAAATATTCAACTGTCTATGGGAATCTGTTCAAACTTCAAAACCTGTCCAGGGTCTTCCCACGAAATGCAGACTTTACATTTAAACAGGGTGCGCCTATATCTTACATAGTGAAGTGAAAACCTCACGCAACTGATTTTAGACTAAAACACATTAGTACACTTTATCTTTATTTTGCTTTCAGAATAAGCACGAATTACTAAACTGTGCAAAATAATGCTAGTTGAACAAAAGAAAACAAAAAAATTAGAATAAAATTAAAAATATGAAATAGCATTATTCATGTTTCACGCTTTAACGAAAAGCACTCTAAAAGTAAATAAAGAAAACATGTAAAGCACTAAAAGCGTGTAACAGTGCTAATCAAATATTGCTAATTAGCAAAAATACGCTGTAGTTTAGACAAAAGAAAACAAACAAGGAATTCGCAACATTCAGAACAATTCAGCACTATTTAATTACTAACGTTTTTTTATGGTTTTGATATTTGCTGTATATTTCATCAAGCAAGCAAAAACATTTTGTTGTTGTTTATTTAAATTATCAATTACAAGTTCTTAATTACTTCCAATCTATCCAGCAAGATCAAACGCCAAAATAATCGTCCGCCAAGCAGTCTTTGATGCTATAGCGGCAGTGTGCTGTACGATTCCGTTTAGACGGCGCTTAGAATCTGATAATATGACTCGAGGGAAATTAGCTTCCAGCCCACTCCATAGGGACTTCCACAAATTTTCTCTCGCGTTATTAACAACTTTCATAAATGGCCGACACAAATTACCATAATATCGTAAACTCATAATGTTGACAAAAGAAAATAGTCTGACAATAAATACAAAATATAAGGTTAACTCTGAAAATTCCATAAGGGTTAAAAGAGGCACAAAAGCACTAGATCTAGGCTAATAACTTAGGATTTTGTCAAATGATTAGAAATTTTAAAAATTTCCTCTAAATCTTTTACTATGGCTGTAGAATATTTTCACAATATTGGCCATTGATTGAAATCAAAAACACAGTTTATTGTAGACACATGAATAATTATCACAAAATCTCGTGTGCAAGTGTAGTACTTGTTATGCCATGGAAACCAAGAAAGTAATATCGTATTATATTCCCTAAATTTTACACAAAAGCTCATCAATCTTCCAATTATTCTATTAAATCATTTTTAACTGTAGTGTTGATGTCTGAAACCTCAATATCCCGACGGTGTCTCTATGATGTTTCTCGGTGATGTTGCTGTTTAAGAAGAGCAGTAATCTGTCTTGTGAATGAGCATATTTTTTAAAAGTTGTAAATGGCGCCGTTATCAAACAGGGGGGCTATTGTTAATGTGCGTTTTAAAATATATAGACCCCATTCGAAGATTGGATTGTCACATTTTGAAATTCAAGAGATCTATTTGACATTATTACTTTTAAAAAGATTTTATGTTGTTGACTAAGAAACGTACTGACATAAGCTGATTTTTTAGGTTTTGGTAAAGATGTCTAACAGTGCTCATTGTAACAGTACAACAAGAACACTCACATATTATTTCATCTTTTAACAACAACAATGAAGAAAATTAAAAAATACTGACTGATGAGAAAATGCTGGGACAATTTAGCGACGAAAGCCATAAATAAAACATCATTTTCTTAAGATCAAAATAAAAAAAAATCTCGTCTAATCTTTGATCATACTTGTTCGTTCGCTTTAAAATGTCTTATGAATGTTTCGTTACGGATTAAAACTAGTTTTGTATTAGGGACAAATGAAATCTTGGGGACATCAAGATGTGAACGCACATTGTGTTGGTTTCAATACGCGTCTCGATAGTAATAATTTGGTCATTAGTTCAAACCAAAAATTGCACAAAAAAGTCATTAAAATTTGCACCTGAACACGACCAATTCCATAGCAACAGAATATTTCTTAGCATCAGACCGGTAATTTCGATGAAAAACTCAAATAAACCATCAAATGTTTGGCGCTAGCATGGACCAAATACATTACTGATATCTTTGGTTCATACGAAGAAAGAAAAGCATCGTTAATGTAGGAAGAGAAAGCTTCATTAACAAAAATCGACGGTTATTCATTTAGAAAAATAGCGCTTTTTCAGAATTGATTGTAATGAGGTGTGCTTGTCGAAATTATAATCTGTTTTCTTAATTTAATATCTTTGCACTGCATAATACACGTATCTCTGTAAATTGTGGTTTTCACATTGAAGTGTGAAAAGAAAAAAAGAGCGATTATTACAGAAGAAAAGAGMTCACCGGCAGATATAGTTTACTTTAAAATTTTGTTGGATTACTTGATTATCCTGGGAATGATATTGAAACGGAGTTGTAAATCAATCCTTGTTATTTTAAAAGAGAATTTTTATGCATACGTTTTGCCATCAGACTAGTAATTACGTTGTTTCCAATCAATATGATCAAACATAAGAAGCAAAATTTCTAATCAATATGTAAAAAAATTGGAAACTTCAACAAAAAGTCATCATTAAGAAGCCTGTGTTTACAATGATGAAAATTAAAAAATGCATTGTTATCAACATGAACAAGCACGTTTTCTCATTTTGACAAATATATTCTGACTTTTCAAACTAAACCTTCTGTTTATTTCATGTTTTTTTATTATCTCTTTGTGTTATGAAGTCAGATAAACTCATGTCATTGAAATTCTTACCAGCACCTCTTGTCCGGTATCTTGAAGTCCTATGGTAGGAACCACACTCTTTAAACCTTGAGAAAGCAGAGCTGTATTCCTTGTTATATCAGCAAATATAATTCCATCAAAAGTGTTGTTTTTGGTAAAGTTATTCGCTAGAATTAAAAAGGTTTGTGGGACAGATGAAATGACACGATATTCGATAAAATTGACGGCCCAATGTCCGMTTAACGGCGAGCTGAAATTCTTTCTAAGAAGTCCCTTGGCTTCTTGAAAAACACTTGAATTTTTCTTCACCACCACAAGGATGTTATAAACCTGATCTTGACTCTGGATATTTGCTCCTATGACCGCAATTATGGCCAGTAAGCTAGTGATCTTGTCCATGTTATTTTTGAGTGCTCAAGTACAAGTACACCATATGCTTATTTCCCACTTGACAGACTTGATTGATGCATAGGATCGCCACAGGGTTCCTCCTACAATGGCTGATATTTTAACGTTTATTAGAATTCGGCCACCACGGTCGACTTGATTGGTTGAATGGTAGTAATCTTATTACACTTTATAAATATGATGGATTTGAAAACCTGGGAAGCCGTTTCCACGACTTTTGTTCACGGGATACTTTGATCTACTTATTATATGTGATATTAAAGATTATAGCACATGTTGTGTGATATAAAGGAATAAACAAAATAAGAAAATAAATGAAAAATTAAGGAAGGAAAAATATGAATGAATAAATAAAATTCTAAGAAAAATATGAAAGAGCAAACGAAAAGAGTAAATGAAAAAAAAAATGAGAGAAAAAGCGAAAGAAGTTGTATTCTTACTTGAAATGTACTGGCCAAGTACTGAAGAACGAGAATGGTTAAAAAAAGCATTTTTTAGACCATCTGAAATATATGGATCTCAGGACTGAAACGTCAGTGACGAATATTATCTTTAGCCTGTTCATTGGCTAAATTCATTTCGAGACTGTCGAAATCATATCGAACTACTCAAGAAAGTAAATTGTAGGCCTTTTAATGATCAGTCAGTCCCATAAAGTAGGCTTTTATGATTAATATAATATCTGATATATTACGCACTCCGCCGCGGAGACGGGGTCCCCCCCACTTTTCGCTTCCGAAAAATTTTAATAAAATAATAATTTTAAAATAATTTATTAATTTATTAAATTTTAAAATAATAAATGAAATCGGTAAGATTAAAATAAAAAATACAAAACATCGATGATCAGAGCTCGATTATACTGTGACGGCATCAAGTTGGAAGAGTCAACTTCGCATGCCCCCGGACCCCCCTATAAAAATCGCGTCTTCGGCGCTCACCAGCCCCCCACATATTTGACCGCTCAGCGGTCACTGTCTATAATTGGTCGAAAATCGTGTATTATTGAAAGCACACACGAATAAACAACTACATCATGTCTTACGCCAACTGGTCAGAGCCATTTTAAGGAAAAATATAAAACAAATAGATTCAATTTTAGCGAGTGCCTCTAGTCTAATAGATACATAGATCATCGGTCAAAACGTGCTATGAGAACGACAGTTACGCCACCCGTCTCCTGGCGATTCTACAGAGTAAAAAAGTACGCAAAATTGGAATCTATATTTAATTATATACACACACACAAAAAGCAATTTACAATTTTTTAAAGAAAGCCCATACTAAGTGTGTTTCTCTAGATGTTTCCTAATATACACTATTGACAATCATTTTTGAAAAAACAAACACTAATTGTGTTTCTCTAGAATTTCTTCCCCCAATATATTTTATTTACAACTGTTTAAAAAAAATACAATAAGTGGGTTTCTCTAGATTCTTTGTTTGCAATTTATATATTAGTATATAGGGTCTTAGAAAGAGGCTTTATTATAAATATTATTGTCTCTTTTTCTCAGTTTAATTTGATTTATGGGTCGTTTTCGTGGCAGTTCTTAAATAAGAAAGCTACATTTTCATATTTTGTAAAATATATTTCCTCTTTTATGTTTTAATCTCTGCTAAGAAATCATTTAGTACTTTTATTTATTGATCTTTCTGGACTTATACAATACAAATGTCTACAGCACAAACAAATAAGTGATGAAAATATTTTTACTGTACYCCAAGAGTATGTTTTCTAGATTTTAGGCCTGAAAAATTTGTCATCGATTTTTTTAACCATTCTCAGCATTGCCTTATATGGTAGTTTTTGGTGACTTTTGGCATTCTGTGAAAAAATGTTAATTATATATCTGCMGTGTTTATAGTGAATAAGAGTTTTTACCACACTTCTGTGAAATCTCGCCCGCCGATTGGCTGATTAGAGAATGTATCATTAAGAGGACATACACACTGTACTAAAACCGTCACGTCTCGAGTGCGCAGTCAGTCGAAAGAAAAGTCATTTTTTAGTCTAAAAATGTGGTGAAAAACGGTTTTTTTCCTTGTATGTTTTCTTATTCACTTTGCAGTGAACTGAACCGCTGCGCTCGTATGTGTTTGAATATTTTATGACGTCAAGAGTATGTCAATAAAAGGACCGACATCTTGCGCCATATACATTATGGCGTAACTTTACTACAACTAACAGAGAATCAAACATATCAAACAATTGCTTCGGAGAAAAATTCATTCGTTTGCCAAACTTTTGCTGACCATATATGGTAATCTTTTTTCACGTATTTTCCACATTTTAGTGCTTTAAATTGGCTTAAACGTACAGAATTTGCAAGGAAATTTCTTTTCAACATGTCGTCCATTATAAATTTGTCCTAGTCCCCTCCCATCCTTGAAATATAGAATCACACACAAAAAAACACAGGTAGCCCGCGCGAATGTTAGACAATTGTTTGATATGCAAAAACACCAAAAGGAGGCCACCAAGGTCTCAGGCAGCAAAGACATTCTAAACTAACTTCGTTAGTATTTAGTCCGTAGCTGTAAAACTTTTCACAAATACCTATTTCCATATGACAGCGCTGAATGTTTCTATAGTATTATTGTATGAAATCGATGGTTTGCACTTATGAAAGTAGTCTAATGCTGGTATTGATGTTTTGAGTGTTTGAACTGACCTAACTGAGATGCCAGGAGCACTTCTGAAACGTCATAGGAACTGGTAGGAACTGGTTAAACATCATATCCGTCAGCAGTCAGCAATAGCAAATTTTTTTTAGGGGGAAGGGGGTCCCCCAGGGGAAAATTGTGGTAGCATAGGAGTCCCCAGCGCGCTTTTCGCCCATTCCATCAATCAATAAACCTTTTCGCGGTTAGGAAACAAGTTGCGCGAGGAGACTGTGTTTTTGCATCAAAGCGAAGGCAAAATGGGGGCAACAATCTAAAAAACTGTCATTTTTAAGCTTATCTATCCTTTGCAATGTTAGAAAAATAATTCAGTTTTGATGTTGAAAAAAAGGTCATGATTTTGATATTACTTGGCACTCTTCATTTGAGGGCTGCATAAAACATGTTGCTCGCTTTGGTCTTAACCTCGAAAATGTCTATATATTTCAGTTATCCAGTAGATCTAATCTACTCAAATTACACTTTTTATGAAAAATGTTTATATTTTAAATTTAAGGATATAATCATTGATGAAAAATATTTGTTTGACAGTGGGTTTCTGATCCGCACAAGTCTCTTTCGGATCGTCCCTTTCGTGATGATTCGTGTTCATTCAGTGATCTTTTGATATTTTTAGCTATTTTAGCTATCTAATGTAACAAGTTTCTTCTTTTTTATGCCATCGCCTCGAATAGTCCCATAATTACTGCGAGAGCTGATTCAACTGTATTTGTATTAAGTGTAGTGTTAATAAACTGTTGTTGTTGTTGTTGTTGGATGTCTATTCAAAGAAGAATTGGATCTTACAAGCTTACAAGCTTGCCTTTCATTTCAGATTATATCAAAATAAGGCATGGGAAAATACTTTACGTTTGGATTTGCAATAAAAACAAGGTCAAGTGTTCAATATCAAGAATGCTGTGTTTACGACAAGATTGCGATACCTTGTTCGCGTTATGATGCGAGATTCTACTATAGAAAAAAGAGTTCCGCCCATATGTGACTACCAAACGCAGGCGTTTTACAACCACAGCTAATGTAAGGTTAAAATTGAATTGTTGGAATGGTTTCGTGGTTTACGTGCAGCCTGAGAAGAGTGAACCAACTAGAAAAATTAGTGAGACGAAAAAGGGGTTAAAAATACATTGATTAATGCAGGCATTTGCCATGCTCTCTATCATTAGACATATAAACCCTTCTTACATGACGTAGTGTTCTCAAGGGTTCACACTGGATGGTACGACTAACAATTTTGTTTTATTAATCAAACACAGCGATAGGAATGTTTTACTTTTTCTCCTCCTGTGTCAGTGCTCCTGCTAGTAGATGCATACCCTGACCATTCACATCCATGTAACGGGCAACCTTTATGGATTAAACTTGTAGATGTAGATGTAGATGTAGAGTAGAGGTGTAAAGAAAATATATTGCAATGCACCGTTATATATTTTAAAGTCTTTTAACGAATTGCGCATCGTCTTGAGTTGCATTCCCTCGGCTTRTTTACACACTCTTGACGTCATAAAATGTTCAAAACTCAAGTGGACTGCAAAGTGGCGTGYGAGAATTTACACAAGTGTACTAAAAGCACGCTATTCGTCAAACTTGCTGTAAGCAGAAAAGACATGAAATGTTGCCTTAGCTCATTTGAATCTTAGTAAATGCAATAAAAAACTATCTGCATATGTCGAAAACAGTCCTGCTGACTGCACAGTAAAAAGCCCCATGTCAACGTTGTTTAAGAGTACCTGAGAGATTCTGTCATTCGACTTCCATATATGGTTGTACATRTACATGGCAGTGATTCAAATAAAGAAGGATCTCATGTCCCTATTATGTGGAAAAGAATTAAACATAAAGTGAAAAAAAAWTTTAACGCTCTATGCAATGCGTAACCCTATATTTTCCCTGAAACTAACCATTAAGCCATGCGTTCAATKCGCTTCATTGAACCTGAATGTAGTTCGTGATATTTATACAAAGGCATCCATGAATAACCAAGTGTAGGTGCATAAGATTGAGTTTGTGGTTAATGAGCCTTTTAAGGATTTTTCGATTCACACTGAAAAATAATAAGTAGTATGCAAACGGGTTTTAATATTAACGTAATGAAAGAAACAAATGAAAAAAAAGTTCACTTCTATACTATGTTTTCMCAACCAATATTTTCCGATAATTTTGAATTCAATTAATCTGCAAAATTCGGCATGTTTTCTCCTTGCATGATATATGCCTGTCAACTAAGTCACTTATCTATTTTTACCCAATTTTTCATTTCAATAAATCTGAAAAATGTTCTAGTGATTGTTTACAACATATCCCTCACGAACGCATAGCCACAGCCAAACTAGCACACATCTAAAAGAAGAATTTGGGTTAGCTGTGTGTTTTGGGAGTTTTAGTTAGTCGAATTTGCCTCAAGAACTCTTTCCTTCTCTTGAAAGGTTGAAAATATTATTGTAAACACGGCATTCATGATATTGAATTATGATTAAATTATGGCAGGTTTAAATATTTCTGATTGACTTCTTGTTTCGATAATCCTTATCAACAGTTTTTTTGAATCATAATTAAGAATATGGTTTGTTTCAGTAATAGGGAAGGATTTTCGGGTGGAATTTTGAGTTATGTCCCGCTGGGCAGGTATTGACGATAAATGAATTAACTCCCTTTCAATAAACTTCAATATTAAAAATAATAATGATAACATTTATTTCTCATTAAGAAAACAATTACAAATAAAAATCAAAAGTAATATTACTTTTTCTCGACGTAGTCATCAAATAAGCCTACTCGAACAACTCAAGGAAAGTTTTTCAATGTTACTATCATTTCAATGAGGTGGCGCCRAAATGACTACATAGGATGATATTCACCTCTCGGCAACCAATCACAGCGCTTGAAACTCTGTATCAATTCTAAAATTATACTAAATGGTAATACGTTTGAGAGGAAAAAGTTGATCAGTGTTGATCTCTTAAAAGAATTTCCGAATTTCTTTGACACTGTTTAATAAACTACCTCATTCAATTTTCCGTTATGGTTAAACATCAAACTGTAATTAATACCTAGATACTGTGTTTTTCCAAACTGAAATGTTTGCTTTAATTAATTAGAATTAGCCTTGCAATACACGGATTATTTTCTGTTGCATGTCATATGTCTCATAATTGTTAATCCACCCCATTTATTTTTAAGCTATTTTTCGAATCACTAGTTTCTTAAGTTGTTCTAGTAAAGTCCGACCTGCCCATCGTTATGGATGGGTGTTTGCAAGCATATACTTACTTTAGATACATTGTTATTAGGGACTGTGTTAAAAATTAGCAGAGGGAGTAGTCTGTGTTGTAGAGCGACTGGGACTTCACTGAATAGTTTGAATCTCTCTTGAGAACTCTTTTCTTTCTCTTGCATCATAACATCAACAAGGTAACAAAATATCGTAAACATAGCATTCCTGATATTGTGCACTTGAATTTCTTTTAATAGCAAGTCCCGATGACGTAAAGCGTTTTTCAATGATTTTTATTCTGCTAAGTGGTTATAAAAGAAGGACAAGTTAGTAAGGCAATCATTCAGTTGGATTCAGCTAACATCTGATTAAACATCTAAGGCAAAGACAAACCCTGACAACATGAAGATTGCTATTGCTTTACTTGTGGTGTTCTCAGCCGTGTTCATGGCAGCTGCAGACGAGAAGGCAGGTTAGTTTTAACTAGAAACGCCGGCTTTCGTAGTTTTAATCCTTGTTTGATTCGCTCTTCGGACACCGTACGCAATCTCTCTATTGTCTTAAAGGTTTACTAAAAAATATTGTGTGCTCAAGCAGCACTGTTCTTGGTGGAGTGCAGCTTTGAKTTCTCGTAATTTTTTAGCTCCCAGTTTTTGTACTGAGACTGACTATTCATTGTTGACGTCAGTATCACATTTAATGCTAATATATGATATATCTTGATATCGGGAAATCCGCCATSTTGTTTATTTTTTTTGCGATAATGCTGAATTAAAAGCTTAATGAATAAGTAATATATATAAAAAAAACTACTGATATTCCACTTTGCTATATTCATGCAAAAAAATCAGGTCCCATTAATTTCGTCAACATACTTCAAAAACATGCACGTTTTTCTATTTTCTTGAAAAAGTAGGAGAGTTTACGTTGCAATCTTGAGAGACGGAGATTCGGWCAAAAATCTGGAGACTCCTGGATTATCCGGACGTGTTAACAACCCTGATTTAATTAAGGAGACGTTAGACCTGTAATATTAACCCGATAGACAATCAAACCTCTTTCTTACAGTAAATTATTCATTCATTTTTACAGAGGAARACATTCACGAGGTCTTGAGAGGTAAGTGGAAATATCCTTATAAAGCTATTTTTTGTGATGTTGGGAGTGATAGAGAGTACCGATATTGTGGTTTTCATTTTGTATAGAAATAAAAGTAACAATTTCTTCCCCTTGGACACCCCATAATTTATTCAAAATTCAAGATGGCGCCATAATAGTAAAAAAGTCTATCTAACCTTTTATTTCCAAATGTGTTTTTCACTGTTTTGTGGAATTTTTTACCAGCCAATGACCTGCCAGCGAATGATGTGGAAGAGGAGCCAAAATTAGGTACAGAATGTTCTTTGAACAGATTGTTCAATCGCTTGCACTAATTATGTTTTAATCGTGTGTTACCCCATTTTTTAATAGATTCTCCGGGGATAGAAAAACGCAAAGTCATCAAGCCTAAGGTTATAGTTGATAAGCTGAGCTACCGTAGCTGCCGCTACATTCTTGAAAGAGGACTATGCAAGTTGCACGCGATACTGAGAAAACTTTGCCCTGCTCTGTGCCGTAAGTGTCAACTATACCTTTGTCCTATTTGTGTGTCCATAATCCTTATAAGGATAAGGATAAGGCTGTTATAAGGATGCGTCAATACGTATATCCGAATTTTTCCGAAAATTTATTTGTGTGTGTGTGTGTGTGTGTGGTGAAGGCGGGGGAATACTTGAAAGTGCAATGAATATAGCAAAACCCTACATATAAGGAGAGCTTGTAGATTTTTCCAAGTCAGCCKGAACAGGTTCTTATATCAATGGTGATATTAACCTGAAATCAGACTGGGTAGGTTCTTAAATGAGGTTCTTAAACTGTGGTAAAAACAAAAACCAGTACTTGCAAATGGAAACTGTTAGATGGTAACTATTGATATATATCTTATTTCGTGGACACAGTTTAAGGATTGTCATATATAGAGTGCTATATTTGTTTACAAGAAAATAAAACAGATTGAATTTAGACCATAAATGGTTAGGTTTAGGCCTAAATGGTTCTTATGTGAGAATGCTTAACATGAAAATTTCAACCTGACAGATTCGTTMATTTTAGGTTTTCATACGCGGGGTTTTATTRCTGTATGGATACGTGCAGAAGCAGTGAGCAGAGAGTAGTTTTCATCTAAAAAAGGAAATTGGTGAATGGTCATCAATGGAAAGGTGTAAATATCTAGTTATGTCAAAATAATTGAAATGAGAATTATATTTCAGGCTGCAAGAACATTTTGTCTACAAAGAGCTGCTTATACCTAAAGAAATATGGCTATTGCAAGAACAACAAAGTTGCAAGGACAAAGTGCCGTTTTACTTGCAGAACTTGCATCCGTAAGTAGAGAAAGAATTTGTAATTTTGAGATGAGTGCAAACAGTTGTAATCAAAATGAAACATAATGAACAATACGAACAGTTCTGGAATAWATACACCTATGTCGTGTCGCAAAAAGGTGAAATCTCGAAGCTTTTTTAAGCAAATTTTAAGCACTCATAAATTGAAATCATATTTTTTTCTTAAACATGTTACATTAAAGTATTACGCACAAAGAAGGTGTCATTTTATTCTGTTACTTTTGGCTTTAATTAATAGCTTTGTTATAATAAAGCAAAACCAACTGAATTTCATTTTTGTTTCAGGTAAATTCGTAATTGGATAAATCGTGTCGWGCTGAAAACAACACTGCATTGCACTCAACGTAAGATTGCACCCATTGCTAAGATGAGATTCATGGCCTTCTTACTGAACTTCTAACCTCTTCCWCTTAAGAAGGAAGAAAACTATTCGCATTGTGAAAGTCCCGGATGTGACTCACCCATTAGTCTAAAGTCAGAATTTTCAACCTGAAAAATAATAAAATATTAGCACCAAAAATAAACTATTTTAAATAAAACCACAACGAATTACTTGATGTTTGTTTTATAGTATTTTTTTTGGGGGGGGGGGGGGGGGGGGGGCATAGATTATTCATAGTAGTAGGATGGATTGATTCACCCAACGAAATGACCGCATCATAGCGCAGTTTTTAGGTCATTGGAAGAGCATTGCAGAGGTCAGGGGTTCGATTCTCATTGAAGCCTGCAATGTTTTCGGGCTATCAATTTATAAACAATGCCATAGAATGTTCATACTTAACTGTGAAGATCATAATTCACTTATATCATCTATAATGTTGTATATTGAGGATCCAGAACATTATCTAATGTTTTTAATTKGTTAACTCAAGAAAAAAGATGAAAAATAAATAGATTTAGGGCTTCTTTTATTGGCAACTCTTTCAGATGAGGACTGCTTCATTTGTTTTTCAGAACGAGTACCATTCAGATTTAACTTCTCTTATATTGGATATATCACAATTTCTATATTTCTATATATTTGAACTCAAAAGAGAGGTTGCCTAGCTAATCTAATTATTCCCCGTGGATCCGTCCTTGAGTATATCTACTTGTTCCTTCATCTGTTCTTATTCAATTATTTTCAGTTTATTGGTTCCTTAATTCCCTTCTCTCCCTGGTCACTCCAAACTACAGCTATAACCCTTTCCTAAAAAGTATCAAGAGTATACATAAAACGCTTCCAACGTTCAAAATTTTATTTATGTATTTTAAATCATAGCCTTGCGCTGAAAGCACGAGAAAAATAAATCCAAATCACTTTGTCCTAGAAGCCAAGAAGCTACAAAATTGCCATTTGGTACATCATTTTTGACACTGCTTCTTGTAAAACGCACTTTCTGCTTCCATGGAGAGGTGCATTTCTACCCATAATGTGAAAGTAAGGTTAACAATACCGGATTGTCTACGTAAGGAAGCCTGACGGAGTGATCAAAAAAACTAAACGTCAGGAAATTGATTAAAAAAATCGATAGAATATGGTCCTTTGTCACATGACTGACGTAGGGTTCTCAAGGGTTCACAATAGATGGTAGGACCAAATATTTTATTTTATTAAACATAAATATTAACGCTAAATAGCGTTAGCGATAGCGCTGCTAACCTGTGAATTAATGTGAGTCTCTAACTACGAAATGAGGAATTTTCACTTTTTCCTTAGAGTAGGGATTTAAAGAAAATATAATGCAATACACCGTCATATGAACGAATTGCGCGTCGTCTTGAGTTGCATTCCCTCGGCTTATTGACACACTCTTGACGTCATAAAATGTTCAAAACTCAAGTGGACTGCAAAGTGGCGTGCGAGAATTTACACAAGTGTACTAAAAGCACGCTATTTGTTAAACTTGCTGTAAGCAGAATAAGGCATGAAATGTTGTCTTAGCTCATTTGAATCTCAGTAAATGCAATAAAAAACTATAATAATTTTGAAGTTAAATAATAAATTTTTATCAACAGTTATTTGAATCAGAATTAAGAATGATTATGCTAGCATGAGGTTTTTTTCGGTAATTGGGAAGGATTCTCAGGTGGAATTTTGAGTTGGGTTCCGATGGGCCGGTATTGACGATAAATGAAGTAAGAAATTAACAATTTTTCGCTTTTAATCAACTTCAATATTGCTTTTTCTCGAGGTCGTTATCAAAAATGCAATTGATTTTAGTCCACTTGAACAGCTCAAAGATTCATTAACAATTCTTTAGAGAAAGTTTTTTAATTTTATTATCATTCCAATAAGCCGGCTCCGGAATGACTACATCGAATGATATTCACCACTCGCGATCACAGTGCTTGAAACTCGGTATTCAATTTTAAAATTATAGCCAAAAATATTTGCTTTAATTAGTTAGAATTAGCCTTGCAATACACGGATTATTCTGTTGCATGTCATAAGCCTAAAAATTGTTAATCCACCCCATTAATTTTAAAGCTATTTTTCGAATCACTAGTTTCTTAAGTTGTTCTAGTAAAGTCCGACCTGCCCATCGTTATGGATGGGTGTTTGCAAGCATATACTTACTTTAGATACATTGTTATTAGGGACTGTGTTAAAAATTAGCAGAGGGAGTAGTCTGTGTTGTAGAGCGACTGGGACTTCACTGAATAGTTTGAATCTCTCTTGAGAACTCTTTTCTTTCTCTTGCATCATAACATCAACAAGGTAACAAAATATCGTAAACATAGCATTCCTGATATTGTRCACTTGAATTTCTTTTAATAGCAAGTCCCGATGACGTAAAGCGTTTTTCAATGATTTATATTCTGCTAAGTGGTTATAAAAGAAGGACAAGTTAGTAAGGCAATCATTCAGTTGGATTCAGCTAACATCTGATTAAACATCTAAGGCAAGACAAACCCTGACAACATGAAGATTGCTATTGCTTTACTTGTGGTGTTCTCAGCCGTGTTCATGGCAGCTGCAGACGAGAAGGCAGGTTAGTTTTAACTAGAAACGCCGGCTTTSGTAGTTTTAATCCTTGTTTGATTCGCTCTTCGGACACCGTACGCAATCTCTCTATTACCTCAAAGGTTTACTAAAAAATATTGTGTGCTCAAGCAGCACTGTTCTTGGTGGAGTGCAGCTTTGAGTTCTCGTAATTTTTTAGCTCCCAGTTTCTGATATTCATTGTTGACGTCAGTATCACATTTAATACTAATATATAATATATCTTGATATCGGGAAATCCACCATTTCGTTTATTTTTTTTGGCGAAGTGATATTTAAAAAACGGCGTCGTGTTTATATCCACGATAAAACACGAACTACGAGTTTTTTAAATGACTTCTAAAACCCAAACCTCAGAAACTACAATATTTTAGTTTAACATGAAATAAATAAAAAAATATCAAAAATTATTAATTGATGAAGATAGCGAACATCTGAGCATGAGCAGTAATTAACTTAGGTTTCCCACATTCAAGCGCCACTATGTATTATATAGTCTACTATGAATCTGCAATAAGTAAATTTTAACTTGAAACCTAGTAAAGTTCTATGATGAGAGTCTAAAACTGAGAACTTTTCTAGTGTTGGGAACACAACGAGTGTCTATAAATCAGTTACAACACTTATGTTTTTTGCATGAGTGTTATAACTAACTGAAATGGTTAGTTCCTGGAGATTCCTGGATGCCGGACGAGTTGATAACCCCTGATTTAATTTAGGAGATCAGCACGTTAGACCTACAATATTAACCCGATAGACAATCAAACCTCTCTCTTATAGTAAATTGTTCATTCATTTTTATACAGAAGAAGCTGACATTCAAGAGTTCTTGAGAGGTAAGTTAAATCGAAAATAGCCTTAAAGTCATTTTGTGTGATGTTGGGAGGGAACTAGAGAGAGTAGTGCTTTGTGGTTTTCATTTTGTATAGAAATAAATGTACTTGGTTTTTATTCATAGCGAAAAAATTGAAAAAAGTAGATTCAGAGTTCAGAGTGCGTGATGCCAACTATTAGTAAAGTTTAATGGTGTACCTTTAGTTTACTAATACGGCCGCCATCTTGAATTTTATTGTTTTTAAATATCGGATACCCAGAGGAGCACATAACAGCAAATTTATAGACTACAGGGTCTTTAGAATGCTATTAGAAGTCATCAGAAATCATGATGTGAATGTTTTGAAGCATTTGCGCAAAATTATAAGTGAAAAAAAAAATGCTTTGGTTAAGTTATTAGACATTTTCAGCCCCTTGGACACCCAATAATATATTTAAAATTCCAGATGTAATTGTAAAAAGGTCTATTTTAGCTTTTATTTGCAAATGTTTTTTCACTGTTTTGTGGAATTTTTCACCAGCCAATGACCTGCCAGCGAATGATGTGGAGGAGGAGCCAGAATTAGGTACAGAATATTCTTTGAACAGTTGATCCAATCGCCTCACTAATTATGATGTCTTAGGAAGGTCACTTTAATCGTGTTTTTTCCTGTTTTTTAATAGATTTTCCGGAGATAGAAAAGCGCAGAGTTAATTCTACTGTCAAGCCTGTGGTCATAGTTGATAAGCTGAGCTACCGTAGCTGTCGGTACATTCTTGAAAAAGGACTTTGCAAGTTGCACGCGATACTGAGAAAACTATGCCCTGCTCTGTGCCGTAAGTGTCAACTATACCTTATGTCTCCATAATCCTCATGATACAGGATTTTKCGGATGCGTCCATACGTATCCGGAATTWTCCGAAAAACTATAGTTTTATGTGSGGCCAAATACTTGAAAATGCAATGAATATAGTAAAACCCCACGTAAAAAAAGAACCTAGATTTTTCCAAGTCAGCCTGAACATGTTCTTATTTCAATGGCGATGTACTTGAAATCAGACTGGTTAGGTTATTAAATGGGGTTCTTAATCTATAATTGTAAGAAAAAGAGTACTTGCAAATGGAAACTGATTGATATCTTGCTTCGTAGACACAGTATAAGGATTGTCATTTATTTTGTGTTATATTTTGTTTACATAAGAAAATAAAATAAATTGAATTTATATTTTGAAATTAAAACCTACTTTGTAATTTCAGCCTGAAATGTTCTTGAATTTTAGGTTGTCATACGATAGGTTTTACTGTATGGATACATGCAGAAGCCGTTTTCACCTAAGAAAAAGGAAACTTGGGAATAATCATCACTGGAAAAGTGAAAATATCTAGCATGTAAAAATAATTGAAGTGACAATTATATTGCAGGCTGCAAGGACATTTTGTCTAAGAGGAGCTGCGGATTACTGAAGGAAGGTGGCTATTGCAAGAACAACGCACTTGCAAGGACAAAGTGCCGTTTTACTTGCAGAACTTGCATCCGTAAGTACAGAWCTTTTAGATGAGTGCAAACAGTTGTACGCAAAATGATACAAAACAAATAAAAACAATAATGAACAATGCGAACAGTTATTCTGAAATACACCTATGACATAGGTGTTCATAGATGATCATGAAACCTTTTTTTAAAAAGTAGATTTTAAATGCTCAAAAATTCTAATCATTTTGCCTAAACACTTTACATTAATTAAAGCATTACTTGCAGAGAAGATCATTTTATTCTGTGTCTTTTGACGTTTATTAAAAGCTTTGTTACAATAAAGCAAAACCAACTGAATTTTATTTTTGTTTCAGGGAGGTTCATTGGATAAATCTTGTCAGCTGAAAACAACACTGGATTGGACTCAACGTAAGATTGCACCCATTGCTAAGATGAGATTCATGGACATCTCATCCCTCCTCTTTAGAAGGAAAATACTATTTGTATTATGAAGTCCTGGATATAACTCACACCTTTGTCAGAGCCACATATAACCTTTTTTAAATAAAATCACAAAGAATTGATTGATTCTTGTTTTGCATTCTTGAAATCGTATAAAACTTTTTCTTTCCTTTTTTTCCTATTTGTGTTTGTGGGGAGGGTGGAGGGCAAAGACTATATTCATTCCATTAGGCTGGATTGATTCACCCAACGTGAAGTAGTGCAGTTGATAGACCATCCTAAGCTCGCAATGATTTCGGCCTATCCATTCATTAACAATCCCATAGATTGTTCATGTTTCACGATATAAGATCATATTTAACTTATATCATCTATAACGCTTTATCGTTTTATCTCCCTCTAATATAAAAATTAGGTAACACCTAATAACGGAGCTCCAATAGCAATATAGAAGCTAAAAATGATTATCTAGTACTGCTATTTCAAAGGTAGATGCTCTGTTCTAAGGAATGTGAGCTACAACAGTTTTGTTGACATRCGAACAAATATTATAAAGAGTATGTTTATGAGAATTTAGTTCGTACTAATATACTTCGGTAGATTTTGTTCCGTTGGATGAAGTTTAATATTATAATCTATAAAGGTCAATCCATTAAAAAACTAAACTGAAAGCTTCTCGGCAAAAAGCAGTCTACATAATCTTACAATAATCAACATTGTTTCAATAATCGATGTTTGAACCCGGACTACTCGAACTTCACATATCACAGAAAACTGTATACAAAAATATATTTTTTACCTTCATTATCGAACTTCCGATAAATTATCGTTCAAAGGTCAACTTCAACAGAGCCATACTTGTTTCAAGCATAGGTTTAATCAATTTATTAAGTCATTCAAGACTGTCGATTCTTAGTTTTTAATCTCTCTCAATCTAACTGCTAGCATGGTCTTAGTTTCAAAATGTCCACACTTTTAGTCGACAAAAGAACTTCGCATAGATCCCTGCTTTTTCCCATATTGGTCCATATTATTGAAGTATTTCCAATAAAGTATCATCTCTTTCTTGTTGTCGAAAATCAAAGTAAAATCCTTTTTTCTAATATCACTTTTAAGATGGGCCTAAATTGCTTTTCATCTTCGCAAATCGATTTCCCGGATGTGCGGACGCGTCGAAGTTATGACAAAATTGGCGGGAATATTTCTGTGCTGTTATTTCGCTCTTCTGTGGATTTTTTCCTTGTGATTAATTGTTCTAATATTATCAATATGTAATATAAATGTTTAAGGAAAAAATTTCGATTTTTCAACAAATACTTGGCGCTTTGTTTCCTTTTCGAGCGGAGTATGGGTTTCCTGTGGTGGTACACGGAATCCAGGACGGAAGGACGGAAGGAAACGTGCGTACGCGCGGGAACCCTGTGTCGTTCCATGGAAAATCGACTCGATGGTATACCATTTTTTCTTAGCTATGATGCTCCGGCGGGAGCTCCGCTACTAACTAGTTTTATAATGAGGATCCAGAACATTATCTAATGTTTTTAATTGGTTAACTCAAGAAAAAAGATGAAAAATAAATAGATTTAGAGCTTCTTTGATTGGCAACTCTTTCAGATGAAGACTGCTTCATTTGTTTTCAGAACGAGTCCCATTCAGATTTAATTTCCCTTATATTGGATATATCACAATTTCTATATTTTTATATATTTGAACTCAAAAGAGAGGTTGCCTAGCTAATCTAATTATTCCCCGTGGATCCGTCCTTGAGTATATCTACTTGTTCCTTCATCTGTTCTTATTCAATTATTTTCAGTTTATTGGYWCCTTAATTCCCTTCTCTCCCTGGTCACTCCAAACTAMAGCTATAACCCCTTCCTAAAAACATATCAAAGAATTGCCCCAGAAAAGTTGTCCTTCGTTTAGCAGCCATATATGRTAATCTTACCTTATTTGGAAGGACTAACTTGCAGATATTATAGCGAAAACATTTCTCGAYAATCGGAAATTTTGTTTGTTTCCATTTATGGCATGGATTTGCTAAAGGAAGCCCAAAAATTAAAAGCACAGGGATCCTGCACGAATGACATACAATTCTTTGATATGGTATCAAGAGAATACATAAAASGTTCCCTACGTTCAAAACTTTATTTATGTATTTTAAATAATACCCTTGCGCTGAAAGCACAACAAAAATAAATCCAAACCACTTTGTCCTAGAAGCCAAGAAGCTACAAAATTGCCATTTGGTACATAATTCCCTTTTTGACACTGCTTTTTGTAAAACGCATTTTCTGCCTTCATGGAGAGGTGCATTTGTACATGAAATGTTGTCTTAKCTCATTTGAATCTCATTAAATGCATTCAAAAAAACTATAATAATTTTGAATTTAATTAATAATAATCCTTATCAACAGTTTTTTGAATCAGAATTAAGAGTGATTATGCTAGCATRACGTTTTTTTCGTCGATTGGGAAAAAGTTTCAGGTGGAATTTTGAGATGGGTTCCTTTGGGCCGGTATTGACGGTTAATAAAGTGATGAACGAACTTGTACAATTTTTCGCTTTTAATCAACTTCAATATTGCTTTTTCTCGATGTGGTTATCAAATATGCAATTGATTAAGTCCACTTCAACAAGTGAACAGCTCAAGGATTCCGCATTAACAGTTCTTTAGAGAAAGTTTTTTAATGTTATTTATATCATTCCAATGAGCCGGCTCCGGAATGACTACATCGGATGATATTCACCACTCGCGATCACAGTKCTTGAAACTCGGTATTCAATTTTAAAATTATAGCCAAAAATATTTGCTTTAATTAGTTAGAATTAGCCTTRCAATACACGGATTATTTTCTGTTGCATGTCATATSCCTAAAAATTGTTAATTCACCCCATTTATTTTTAAGCTATTTTTCGAATCACAAGTTTCTTAAGTTGTTCTAGTACCTGCCCATCATTATGGAWGGGTGTTTGCAAGCATATAYTTACTTTRGATACATTGTTATTAGGGACTGTGTTAAAAATTAGCAGAGGGAGTAGTCTGTGTTGTAGAGCGACTGGGACTTCACTGAATAGTTTGAATCTCTCTTGAGAACTCTTTTCTTTCTCTTGCATCATAACATCAACAAGGTAACAAAATATCGTAAACATAGCATTCCTGATATTGTGCACTTGAATTTCTTTTAATAGCAAGTCCCGATGACRTAAARCGTTTTTCAGTGATTTTTTTCTGCTAAATGGTTATTAAAGAAGGACAAGTTAGTAAGGCAATAACTCAGTTGGATTCAGCTAACATCTGATTAGACATCTAAGGCAAGACAAACCCTGACAACATGAAGATTGCTATTGCTTTACTTGTGGTGTTTTCGGTCGTGTTTATGGTAGCGGCAGACGAGAAGGCAGGTTAGTTTTAACTAGAAACGCCTTTCGTAGTTTCAATCCTTGTTTGATTCCCTCTTCGGACAAAGGACGCAATCCCTCTATTGCCTTAAAGGTTTACTAAAAAATATTGTGTGCTCAAGCAGCACTGTTCTTGGTGGAGTAATTTTTTTAGCTCCCAGTTTTTGTACTGAGACTGATATTCATTGTTGACGTCAGTATCTTATTTAATACTTAYATGTAATATATCTTGATATCGCTAAAATCCCGCGCAATGTTGTTTATTTTTCATTTGCAAATGCTGAATTAAAARCTAAATGAATAAATAATGCATAAAAAATATAAGAAACACTGATATTCAATTTTACTATATTCATGCAAAAAAAGTCAGGTCCAATAATTATTCGTCAACATACTTCAAAAACATGCAATCTTTTTTATTTTCTTAAAAAACCAAGAGAGTTTACTTACGTTTTAATCTTGAGAGACGGAGATTCGGACGAAAATCTGGAGACTCGTCGATTATCCGGACGAGTTAACAACCCTGATTTAATTTAGGAGATCAGCACGTTAGACCTGTAATATTAACCCGATAGACAATCAAACCTCTCTCTTACAGTAAATTATTCATTCACTTTTATATAGAGGAAGACATGCACGGGGTGAAAATATCCTTATAGCCATTTTGTGTGATGTTGGGAAAGATAGGGAGTACTGATATTGTGGTTTTCATTTTGTATAGAACTAAAAGTAACTATGTACTTGGTTTTTGTTCATAACGAAAAACTGAAAACAATACGAGGTTCAGAGTGCGTGAACTAACCAACTAACCAACTATTATTAAGTTTAATAACTTTAATAGCGCTTGATGGCTTCTACTATTAAAAATACCCTTTTTAACTCGGAGATTGCGTTAGCAATCGAAGAGTTATTGTAGATGGACGATCTGTCACTCACTCAGTCACTCACTTTCCTGTAAACTGCCCTTGTTGCTATAGTAACTATGAGGTAATATTTATTTTTCGTCATCACGGTCTTCCTATGCTTTTATCTGTAATTAGCTATGCAAACTAAATTCATATTCCTGTAGTCCCGCTGAATCGATTTCCCCATACATCGCCTTATATTCCAGCGCCTTAACCGATTATGTCACGGTGGCATTTTGATGAAAATTGGCGTGTTTTAGGAGTTTTATAGGGAGCACCGCTGTTCGAGTCCAGTTGGTGCCATTTTTTTTCTTTTTTTTTAATGTTTTGGAGATTTTCTTTTCTTTTCTCCTTTTTCTAATAATAACAAACATGTTTCTGAATAAAGTTTGGTTTTTAAGAAATTCTTTTCATTTTTGCGATCGGTAAATAAAATCAGGTATACAATGATGGGTTTCCTGTGTTATATGCTGTGGATTGAATCGATATTTACCGAAAACAACTGAGCCATCGCAGTACGTTAAAAACCTGGATTCAAGAGGAGAAAATTGAAGAATAGTAATTTCCTTAAGAAATTTATTGGACGGTTCAACTATGTGTATTATTGTTATTTTTTTTACTCGTGGTCATTCGTGGTCACTCGTGGTCACTCGTGTGGTCATTCGTGGTCACTCGTGGTCACTCGTGGTCACACTCGTGTGGAGTTTCAGAACAGATCGTTTATTTAATGCTCAAAACAATGTGTTTAGTTCAATATCTAATAGAAATTTACCTAAATCACTCTTCTACTGCATGCTAAATGTATGAATAAGTATAATTTA